TCCAGCTGGGTCAAGGACTGCCCTGTCAGAGGTACAGAGAAAACTCCTCTGCGGAAGAGCCAGTGGGGTGGCAGGAAGTGCTGAGAAGCCCTTCAGTGAGCCTGCAGAAGAGGCTTAGGTAACATCTATATTTACCAGAGATCGATCTTCTGACATTCAATTTAGTGGGTCTGGTTAAGACCCGCTAAATCAAATGCCGAGGGTGCCTCCAGTCAGCACTGGTATTCCTCGCAGTCGTGAGGAGTAAGGGAAGCCGATGGGAGTGTTTGCTCCCATCAACCTCCCACTATGAAGATGGTGCTAAGCTAGGCTTAAGGTATGTCGACTCAAGCTATGCTATTTATGTAGCTGGAGTTGCGTATCTTAAGTCAACCTTCCAGAGCTGGTGTAGACCTGACCTTAGAGAGAGAAGAGCTGAGACAGTAGGGTCTGGGAAGAGGCTGAGGAAAAGTCCCAGGTAAGAAGAGGTCTCGGGCGGTAGAAAGATCGTCTCTGCAGAGAACAGAGGTACTGCTGTAAGGCAAATAACCTGAGCACCTAGGTTTCTCTAGAAATTAACTAAGGCTTTATAGACATTGCTCTCAAACCTGTAGAACTGTCTAGAGCAGGACTCCTCAGACAGTGGGTTGGTGCCCAAAGTGAGTCACAACCCTGTTATAATGTGGCCACCACGGCCGGCTGAAGACCCGCTGGGGACCACAGCCTCGAGCTGAAGCTGGGCAGCAGGACTCAGGTTATAGGACCCCTGCCTGGAGCTGAAGCCTTTGAGCTCCCCTCTGGTTTCAGCTTTAGTCTCCTGCCCAGGGCGGTGGGGCTTGGGCACTGATTGTGGTACCCTCACCTTGGACAGTGGGGATTGGGCTGGCTCAGGTTTTGGGTCCCATTCCTGAAGCCATGTCGTTATTTTTGTGGTCATGGTGTAATGACGTTTGAGAACCTCTGGCACAGAGAATCTCATCGTACATATAGACTGGTTTTAGGACTGACATATCATTGGTTAGCGGAATCTGTTCTTAAGAATAGTTACTGTCTATTCAGTTTTTCATAGCAGGAAGTTAGGAAGTTGTGGCTATTATTGGATAAGTGGGATATTCATCTGTAATTTGTCAGAACCACTTCCAGATGAATTTCTTTGGTGCATGAGAACCTCATCTAAAAAAAATGAAGGTAATTGAAATGAATAAATTACAGCAGGGCAGGTGCAAGGGGGGAGATAAGTGCATTATGGGATATTGACGACATGTATCCAGAACCACCTGCTGCACTGTTTTGGTCCCATCAGGCACTGGGAGTATAACCCAGAAATCAAAGAGGTGGCAGGAACTATAAGATAGCAGTGCGTGGCTGTCAAAATAAGGTAGCCACCTTACTGGAAACGCCCCATGTCGAACTTGCACACACAGGGTGCGTCTAGATTGGCATGATTTTCCGGAAATTGCTTTTAACTGAAAAGTTTTCCGTTAAAAGCATTTTCAGAACAGAGCATCTAGATTGGCATGGATGCTTTTCCGCAAAAGCACTTTTTGTGGAAAAGTGTCTGTGCCAATCTAGACGTGCTTTTCCACAAAAAAGCCCCAATCGCCATTTTTGCGATCGGGACTTTTTTGCGGAAAACAAATCTGAGCTGTCTACACTGGCCCTTTTGCACAAAAGCTTTGCGCAAAAGGGACTTTTGCCTGAACTGGAGCAGAATAGTATTTCTGCAAGAAGCACTGATTTCTTACAGTAGGAAGTCAGTGCTTTTGCGGAAATTCAAGGGCCAGTGTAGACAGCTGGCAAGTTTTTCCAGAAAAGCGTCTGATTTTCCGGAAAAACTGGCCAGTCTAGAAACAGCCACAGCAGGCGCCTTCAACTTTACAAAATCAGGTGCTAAAAAACCACGTTGGTACATTTGACTTCATCTCTCCATGTAGACAAGGCCTCAATGGCTACAGCTGGTCAAAAAGGCCAGTTAGTTTTAGGGGGAAATTTTAATAAATCCCTTTTTATAATTTTCAGCAATGTTTTTGTTAAACAAAAATGTCCACCAAACACTCCCAACTGAATTTTTTCCAGTTCCATTTTTCATAAACATGGCTTGATTTTTAATTAAAAGTGGATTTTGAAAACTGAACATTTTAACCAAAAATCGGAAGTTAATGGTGCCCCTCTAGTACATTTTTTATAATTCCTTTTTGAAGAAATTACAATTGTATCCCGCTGAATGATGTAATCAAAGAGAGAAAAGGACTGAGGGAGGATGAGACATTAGGAGGGTTGATTGGGTCTATGTTATTCTCAGGGTGATAAAACCTCCTCCATAACACAACTGATTCCCTTGTTTGCTCAGAGACAAGGTCTCCCCTACAAAACATCTGAACACACACTGTCAATTCTTTTCAAGAATATGATGTGCAGCCTTTGTATACGCTAACACACACCTTCCTCGCAACCAATATGTTAAGATTTTAATGGCATTCCTCTCATGTGGTTCATTGGATCAGCCAGCTGCGAGCATAAGGGAAGGTGCCATGTAAATAAGACAAAACGTTTATGTTCACCTTTAGCCACAACCAAATTATGGCACATCAGTTGGTCCCCTAAAATTTGTCTCTGCACAAACGAGCTACGGGGAGAGCTGCCTCCACATCTGCCTGGATACCTGTGGATATCTGCAGATTTGCAGGACTCTCACCCAGTGGTTCCTGACCAAAGTGATGTTCATCTGCACAGACCTTGTCCTGGGCCCAATGCATCCTGGGACAGTACATGTAGATTTCCAGCAGCTTATATTTCAGCTCCCCAATTCTCCTGTCAGGTCAAAATAATAAAAGGCAGTTTAATTGCTGAGCTAGTTTGGAAATGGTGTTTGTGACTTTATCTCCCTGCCTCAGACGGACGCACAGAGGATGGAATGCTGGCAAGCAACCAAAGCCCCGCTGTTCGTAAAAAGAGCTTTACTTATTTGCCACATTACAGGTGAGCATGAATGAGATTGGCAGTGATGCCAAGCCCAGCACAGCTGTGACGGATTTATTTTTATCAATGATGAGTGGAAATGGCTGCAAAAATACTGTGCAAGGGTGACTAATAAACTGAATTTTATTAGCCGTACTTATTAGAAGTATTTACAGGCTAGTGCACTGATAGGCATTTTGATGGGGCAGTGCTCCTTAATTATGATCTCTCTGGGACTACAAACCAATGGAAAGAGAGCCAAAAACCTGGAAAACATAATGCATGCATATGTCAAGTCAAGATTTATATTCAGATAGCAAATAACTGCCTTGGCAGCAGGTATCCTCCACCACTGACGCCATTACAATGTTGGCCTCATGCAGTCGTTTGTTGCTTGTTTAAAGCAGATTGATAATGTTGATGGTTCGCAGCTGTTTGCGATCATGACAAGACGGCGTATGCTTGGGATTTTTTCCTCTGTTCTGTTCAGGACACGGCTGACTTTTGAGGTTATGAAGCTCGCCTGGATACGGGTGGATACCTCAAGCTTACTAGGCAGATCTACGTCTTCTGCCCCACCCTCTTGCCCATGTACTTTGGCTTCCCTTTGACCCTGAGTTTCTTATTCTGATGGGAGCAAACACTCCTGTCAGCTTCCCTTATTCCTCACTGGCGCAGGTGTAGTGGCTGCAGTCGGGGGTGCCCTTTGAGTTTGACTTAGGGGGTCTTTACTAGACCTGCTAAATCAAACTCCGGAAGATCAATGACAGCAGCGTTGATCTCCTCCAGAGTGAAGACATGGCCTGAGTTCTATGACAATAGCCTTTTGACTAGTGCCTGCTTTTTCTGTACTGGCCTTTTATAAGTTTCCTATACATCTTAGCTTCCGTGTCCTACAGTGTGAACTAGTATAGACTAGTTTATTAAATAAATCAGAGCCGTCTCCCACACTGCTTCCAGCTAAAGTCTTTGGACGTGTGGGTTACCAGGGCTTGGATGGAAACTCTGCTGTTTTCTGATGTTGACAGCCTTATATGCTGTACTTTACCACGTCAGTGGTAGTTGTACTGTAATCACAGTAATGACAAGTAAGTAGAAAATTGTTTGATCTTGGAATTAAGGGACAATAAAGAGACACTGCACCAAAGGCCCCAATGCTTTTGTCTTTGTCTCCCTGTTCATTGTCTCTTTAATGACGCTAATTCAGATGTGCTCCTCTGACAAGTAAAAATGGGTTCCCATCTACCAGCCCTATAAACTCAGCCTGACCCATTTGAATCATGCTGGATTCTTTACTTTTTATGCATTATCACCAGTAATAAAAGTTTTGCTGGCACATAATGCTCACAGTGACACCTGTACAAATCCATTATTGTCTGTTGATTTACACAGGTGTAACTGATTGGGGCTTAGTAAACAATTGTGGAAGAGGTGACTAGGAAGGATCAGAAGCTATTTTGTTGTCTTAGCAGGGTTAGCTCCAATAACCTTTTTTTCCCACTATGGAATAAAGGCTAATATTCTGAATACAAGGGATGTATTCATACAAGGGGACAGATTTTTAAAGGGATTTAGTAGAAGTGGGTGACATTTTTGAGCCAAATCTTTTTCGTGAAAAAAAAATGCAGATTTGTTGGCACTGAAATTGCTTGTTTTAAAAATAAATACGTAGAACGTGGAAAACTCAAAATATTTTCATTTTTTTAAAATTTCAAAATGCCTGTCTAGAGGGGGAGAGAAAATCATTGAAAAATGGCTCAAAACTGAAATGGAATGTTTTGGGTTGACATAAAATGTGGGCTTTTTTTGTTACTGGTCAATATGCTGACATTTTTCCACACCATTTTTCTGAATGACCAGAGAACCAAAAAAAATCAATCATTTACACGTTGTGATGGGGCGAGGCAGCCCCCGCACTGAACCTACAGGGCCCAGCCAGGGTTACCTGGCTGCAGAGGCCCCTCCCCCACAGCTCTACCGAGCATGCCCGGGCTGCAGCAGGGCTATAAAAGCCTGGGGAAAGACTCAGTCTCGAGAGACGGCTGGAGGAGAAGGACCGGGGCAGGGAGCTCCCTCTCAGCTGTTGCTGGGGACGCCAGGAGAGGCGGAAAAGGACGCGGAGGCGAGTTGAGGCAACCCCTGGACTACCGACCGAGGGGACACCGGCACGGAGCTCGCAGCTGGCTGGGCAGGTACAGGGGAAGGCACCCCTGGGGACTGGGTAGGAAGTGGCCCAGGGCAGGAGCGGGAGCTGCCTCTCCAGCCCAGAGAACCTCGGTGCGTTTTGGCCGGACTGCCCCGCCGAGGGAGTGACCCGTTACCCGGTCGCTCACAGGGCCCTGGGCTGGGACCCAGTGGAGTAGGGTGGGCCCGGGTCCCCCTACCCGGGGGTGTGCCCCGCTATAACCCCCAAACTGCATTGTGACTGCATTGTGGACTCAGGCCAGAGGGCCTAGGCCTTGCTTAAAGGGCCAGCTATAGACTGTGGTGTGGACTCAGGCCGGAGGGCCTTGGCCTTGTTTAAGGGGCCAGCTATAAACTGCATCATAGTGGTGTTGGGGATTCAGGCGGGAGGGTCCCGCCACACACGTATGTTGTGTTTAGGTGCCTGAAGACACAAAGCCAAAGTGAATTAAAAGCCTAAGAGTGGTTGTAAATGCAACTAGGCAGCTATCTGCATTTTTAGTCAAGTTTGGCCCTTGATTAGGCATGTAAAAGGTTAACGGGTTTACTGGTTACCTGGTAAGCCCTGGGCGGGCTGGCTGGACTTCAATGCCAGCACCACTGGCCCAGGTGGACAGGCAGGACTTTGGCCTGGCCTGCGTCCTCTGGCCCACCAATGGTTAACGGGTATAATTTTATTCATTTAATCCGTTAACCATATTAATGGTTATTTACATCCCTACCCTTAATCTCTCTTTACCTCAGTGCCCCACAAAATAACTCTTCCCTTGGAAGGATAAATCCTTTAACACGTGATGGACAAAAAAAACCCATTAAATTACATTGTGAGCCTTCCAGTTCATGACTATGGGTGCTGAATTTGACTGGCAAGCAATGGCTATAACTCCCCCAGGGATGTTATTTGCTTATGGATGGGACGGGTTATGTTCTTCAGAGATGGAAGGACAAATCTCCATGAGACATTCAGTCTGAAGATGGAGTCCATGCTCCAGCCATGGGATCTTTAATGGCAATGGGTGATCTGGCCCTGCGGAACCTTCCGGCGACCACCACAGAGAAAACAATGTTCCCCCAAGACCATGCTGGGATATTGGTTCAGTGTTGACTTGAGGTAAAAGTATCTTGTTATTGAACTATGACATGACTTTTGGATGTTCCTTAGAGGTTTCTTAGCTAATTATTCTCCAAATGCGACTCTACTTCACTTACAGCATCAGCAGAAGGCACACAAGACACTGAATTCAAATGTTGACCACTATAAAACAATACTACACAGTCCCACCCACCTTTCTCATAAGTTGTATGAGCCCCGATTTCTAACCGGCAAACTCGTCACATTTTTTTTTTGGTGTATAGAGTGGGCTATTAATTGAATCAGCTGAACGGAGAAGGAAAACAATAAACAAGGATAATGAGAGCCCAGATCTGTCAATCTGAACCTCAAAGTTAAGGGAAAAGTTTGTCTTCCTTGTGTGATTAGGGTGGTGATGATGGTGGCCATATGTGTTAACATCTGTACTGGAAGATTTAGGACTAATCATGCAGAATGAATGAGCTTCACACAAACGCAGCTCTAACTCCCTCCATATGCTGTGTGAGAAATTACAGGTGGCTCTCATGCCATGAGAGAGGGACATATGGTCTGCTCTACAGAGGTGGCTTTGTCTGACTTTGAAATTAAAGACCACAAAAGTTTTAGACAAAACAAAATATTTAATTGGAGAGTTCCGACCTATTACGTAGCTAAACAAAGACACTTTTCTGCATGATGTAACACAGTAGGTCTCAAACTTTTTCCATACTATGACACCATGTTAGCGAGGGAAAAAGTCTGGGAAACACCACTCATCGCTTCAAGCCCTTCTTCATAGCTAGTCAGAATGGAAAGGAGGATGGTCACAACTTCCCCAGACCCATCCAAGAACTGAGGGTCAGGACCATAAGCTGAGAAACCGTGTTGTAGTCCAAGGCTTGTGATTAGACCTCAACCCTGTCTCACTAGAAATCAATGGCACAACTGTCATCTGGGTCAGTATTCAGAATCAGGCCTCTTTTCTGGCTGGGCTGCCACATGTGGAATGGAATACTAGTGACCCCGCATCAGTTGTGATCCATACGTAGCATAGGGGATGGAGAACTAAATGGCCAGCGCAATCAGATTCCGTTCTCCATATGGGGTCAGCGCCATATGCAGCATAGGGGATGGAGAACTAAACGGCCAGAGCAATCAGATTCCGTTCTCCATATGGGGTCAGCTGAGTTACTTTACTCCAGACCTCGCTCCCCCACAGATTTCTGCTTCAGTGTCCATTATCCCTGGACACTGAAGATTTAAATGAGGCAGTTTTGCCAAGCCAGGGGTTTTGCCCATGATTATGACTTTGCCCTGTGAGTAGGGTGATCACATAGCAAGTGTGAAAAATGGGGACAGGTGTTCAGGATACAACAAAGCCCAGAATATAGGGACTCTCCCTATAAAAATTGGGACATCGGCCATTCTAGCCATGAGGAAACTGTTCTCCTAGGGGACAATGCTCCTTTCAAGTCCACACACGCTGGCTGTGTCTAGACTGGCCAGTTTTTCCAGAAAATCAGCCTCTTTTCCGGAAAAACTTGCCAGCTGTCTACACTGGTCGCTTGAATTTCCACAAAAGCACTGACTTCCTACTGTAAGAAATCAGTGCTTTTTGTGGCAATACTATGCTGCTCCCGTTCGGGCAAAAGTCCTTTTGCACAAAACTTTTGTGCAAAAGGGCCAGTGTAGACAGCTCAGATTTGTTTTCCGCAAAAAAGCCCTGATGGCGAAAATGGCGATCGGGGCTTTTTTGCGCAAAAGCGTGTCTAGATGGGCACGGACACTTTTCCGCAAAAGCACATCGTTATAACACGAACTCTGACCCAGTCTAGATGCTCTTTTCCGAAAATGCTTTTAACGGAAAAGTTTTCCGTTAAAAGCATTTCTGGAAAATCATGCCAATGTAGACGTAGCCACTGTGTGTAATGAGGGCTCGTCTCTTACGCAAGGTGAGGGTCTGTGTTGTATGGTCTGTATTCATTCCACCTTCTGTAGTGGGGATGGGGGAGGGAATTTGACTGGCGTTACTGAGCCTGGTATAAATTAGAGTCATGGATACATGTGACGTGGAAGGTTTTGTGGTGCATTTTGGTGCAGTAAAGGACCGAACTCTTCCTTCCCACACTGGGCTGATGCCCTTTGTTAGTCAGTGAAGCTACACACAGCACACACCACCGGAAATTAGCTTTTAGTATTTCCTGCCTATCGCAGCAGCTGGGCCAAATTTTTCTGCGGATACAGGTAGGACCTCCCTGGTGTGGCACTCTCAGCTCCTGAGCTGTCTGACATCAGGGAATTTTCCAGACCAGGGGGGATTACTGCTCCCCCACTCCTGGGCTCCTCTCTCTTGGGATCCCTGCCCTGCCGTTGGCCCCACCCTAACGCTGGCCTGTCACAGGCTCCCCATCCTGCTGTCCACACGCTGCCCCAAGGCCTCCTGGAGTTCCTGGCTCCTGGAGTTCCTGCACTCCTGGAGTGCAGTCTGGCCGATGCCGTCTGCACTGCCACACGGTGTTCCCCAGGTTTCTCGGGATAGAGCCACCCAGCTGCCGCCAGTCCCACTGCTGCCAGGGGTTCCTTGGCCAGGGCAGGAGCTCCCCCAGCTGGTAAAGCTGCTTCTGGTGCAGCCAGAGCTTCCCAGCTCCGTGTTCTCCTGCTCCCATCTCTGGGATTTTTTGGTCCAGCAGCAGCCATGGCCCTGCCAGACCACGGATGTTGCTAGACTAGAGAGTCCCAGATTTGAGAGGTTCAACCTGTATAAACCCCTTGACACCTTCATGAAGTCAATGGCATTGAATGGACTGCGAGTCAGCCCAAAATTTGGCTCGTAGGGTGCAGCCTTCTGTTTATGTCTCCAAAATTCCGAAAAGATCTCGAATATGCTGATTCGAGTTGAAACCTACCCCAGAAATGACCTCAGAGGCCTCTGGACCCTCACTGCTTAACATTCCAGCCGTCACGTCCTCCCAGATTACTGGTTTTTCATACAGCTGAAGTAGGGGGCTTTCATCGGGACGCATATGTTTTGATGGCGTGCTGGCAAATTTTCTCATTGCAAATTGAGCCCAGTCAGCCACTGTTTTAGATAACCACTATCCAGATAATACTCTCTAATGATCACTTTCCCCAGTGGAAAACAATTATATCTCTTTACCTATTTCTGCCAAGAGCATCTGATTATTATAGTGGTGCAGATGGTGGTGAAGCACAAACTCTGAATTGGGAGATTCCCAGCCACACGCCGGCCCCAGCACTGTTCCAGGCCTTGCTCCCAGCCCTGCCCTTACCCTGAGCCTGCTCCTGGCCCCAGATGGGCGCCCAGCTGTGTCTCTAGCCTCAACCTCCTTACCTTGTCGCTGGAGCTGCAGGCTCAGGGGGAGAGGAAAGGAGAAGGGGAGGGGGAGGTTGCAGACAGGGACAAAGGGGATGGAACCATGAAAAGTTTGGGACTTGCAAGCTAAGACACAAGCGAGGCAGCACCAGGAGAGGCGGTCACGATCTGGCCCTCCCGTGGCTGCTGCAGTTCAAAAGCGGTGGGAGTGGAGATGGAGAGCAGACGGGGACTGCTGGGTGGGTTTTGCAGCAGTAGTGGGGGCAGGCAAGCAGGGCTGGGGGAGAGAGCCAGGGAAGAAGCTGCCATTCTGAACCTCATTTTCTCTGAGGGAGAGGTCAGGGCCGCAGAGGGAGGATGGCCTCATGGGGAGTGGCCCGTGCATGTGTGGTTCAAATGTCTCTTCCAGTCTGTGATGGGGGGCACTCCCCACACTGGCCCTACTTGGGCAAATTAGACCTAATTAATTGACAAGGTTGCACTTGAAGAAGGAGCCAGGAAGCAGTGGTGGATTAATTAGATACCAGGTTCAGCTGGGCAGGGAGATGTAAGTCGGGAAGCTGGTAATAGAAGCGGGTTGCAGGCAAAGAGTTTGCAGACACTCCCTGAGACAAAGGAGGCTGAATGGTCGCTCCCTTCCTGCGAGGGGGGGGGGCGTTGGTTGCTACTGGCAAACGCAGAGCTGGAGGAGAACCAGAGAGAAGGTACGTTTCGGGGGAAAGAGCTGTGCAGTATGGAGTTGGTCAAATGGTGGCTGCCAAGGAGAGGGCTTTTGAGCCAGGATGTGGAGAAGAGGGTGGGCCCACATCCCCTTACTAGCCCGAGGAAGCGACACTGTTGGGCAGTGAGCAGGAAGCCTGCCTGACCCCGTTGGTCAAGAAGGACTTGACCCCGTTGGTCAAGAAGGATGCCACAGAAGAGGACAACATGAGTCGTGACTTGGCTGGAGGGGCCACGTCATGAAAGGAACCTTTACCTGAGCTTTCAAAGAGGTGTCTGCAGGGCAAGACCAATGATTGGAGGGAGAGCTCTGGATTTGTTTATGGATAAACTGATGCGGTAAGGGAGCGTACCAGTGTCATTCAGGCTAGACAATAGGCCCTGCTCGTTCCTGTCGCGAGGCAGTTTTCCTTCCAGGAAGCTCGTAGTGAATTTAAGCCGCGTCAGTGTTTTTGATACCAATAGAGGATTTATGACTAGAAATGGCCTGATAATTATTGATCCAAGGGTGTGCAAAACTGGGATCATTAACATCCGGAGCAGAGATTTCCCATCAGGCAGTGCTTCCCGGCTTCGGGTCCCAGAGTTCAGAGCAGCTCTTGCCTTCGATTGTCTGTTCTCCATTCTGCATGCTAATGGAGATGCCTCTCTGTCCCATCTTTGATGCAAATCAGGCTAGGGGAGTGTCTGGAGAGGTGGAGGTGTGTTTTCCCCAGCCTTGTCATTGCTTTTTGTAAATCTTGTCTCTGCTTGGCTTTGGTTCAAGCAAAGACTGGGAGGAGGAGGTCTTTTGTGAATCTGACAGGCTGGATATTATGCCTGGGTTCCCCAAGAACACAGAGCTGGTAAGTAACACCTGGACTGGGACCCTGTTGTGCTAGGCACTGCACATACATAGAAGGAAAAGATGGTTCCTGACCTAAAGACCTCACTGTCTAATAAAATGGCAAAAGTTTATTGGCTATGTCCCAAATCCAATATTCAG